GGAAAAGGCTCTTTAGTCACCAGTGGGATGTGGGCACTCCAGAGGCAGCAAGATCTCCTGCATATCTTCTGGGCTTTGAAAGTTCCTGTAGTGATTCTTTCTGCCAAAGTTAGTCTTTGCCTTGATTACCCCCACAGCAAGTCCTGTTTCCCTTCTGCTAGAAGGAAGATCATCCTAATGAATGATTCTCAGAAAATAATATATACTTCTGGTCATCTAGAGAAAGGCTGAATCTATTAAGATCAGTGGCAAAAATCCTGTTGACTTAAAAGGGAATATGTTTCGTTTGTGCTCTTATGTGAACATCCTGGAACATGCAATTAATAAGGGAATGTATCTCTTAACATCTTCAGAGATCTTCACCAATCTTAAGATTGGTATATAAGACAAGAATAATAAAAACATCTAAAGTATGTTAAACAAAGACCTCATGTTGTAATTACCCTAGCTGCTGTGAAATTTTATTTCTGTTACCAAACCCAAGTTTCATGTTTCTTTTTGTATAAATGCTTAACAATTTCCCCTTCCAGATATCAAAGATACTTTAAAGACACTTTAAATTTTTGAGTTCAGTTTTGTGGCAGATCTCTAATTAGTAGCCAGGAAACTTTTGTGCAGTCAGAAGTAGATATCAAAGATAAAAGCAAAGAGGTCTGATTACCTTGGCAAGTATGTTAAGAAGGACGGTGAACTGAATTCATAATTTCAGGTGAATAATTCTACAGTTTTGCTAGAGTTGGCATATAAATTAAATTGGTCTTTTTTGACAGCATGATGCATTCTCTAGGGATTACTCAAATTATGCAGGGTTCAAAGGACAGATTTCCTTGTTAATTATTTTCTTTGAGATTGCTGCCTGTAACCTACAAAATGTTACAATAAATGTACAATACTAATATAGACTTCTGTGTTATTTTCAAAGAAACAGATTGTTTTAATATAAGCAATATGTCTATATATATATATTTTTAACTTCGACTATTCTAGAGAGAGATGACCATATTTTTCAAAGTGTTTATTCCCCATTCAGGCACTGAAATGAAGAAGTCATTTCAAAGTCGTTAGCATTCTGCAGCAATTATTGTTACATTGAACACCCCCGAAGTCCTGGCCACTTGTCAGAAATTCATGAATCAGTTTAGTGGAAAAAAAAACTTTTTTCTCTCTGTAAGCTTCTTGTCTTTTAAGTCTGTGAATCTCCTTTCTTTACTTTGGATAACTGAGCATTAAAATTCAGTATCAGCTTTTTCATCCATAAATTTTGACTTCTGAAGATAGAAAAGTTAGTATTTCCCAATAATTATCTTCATATTTTTCATTTTCTTTTTTAGAAGTTTTATGTCTTCTTATATTTTTAAACTCTGGGTGTTATAAATGGTAGTCCAAGTATGAGACTCTTTTAAGAGCATAGACTAAATAAACACAACTCTGATACAAATGAGCATCAAGTGAGACCAAGTCCCATGGTGATGCACAGACATACAGAAATAGACAGTTCCTGCCTTGTGAGAGAGTTTATAATCTGAGAAGGGGTAGTGAGAAAAAAGGAATATGCTCACTGCACGGAGATATGAGGCCTAGAAAAATTAAAGATATTTTTTTCTCAGAAGTCTCTGGGGCCAGCCTGTATAATGTATTTAGGTATGTACTGATGCAGTTGGGCATTTCGCATGTTCAAAAATTTCTCTAGGCATTAAATGCTTAACTTTGATTAACTTACAGTAAAACCTGAGTTTCTAAGTCACCTCTAAAAATTACCTAAACCTAACTCTATAGGTGGAGGCTAAGTTAAGCTTAAAGCATTCAAAATAATTAGGCCAGTATTTCCTTTGAACTTCTGGACACTGATGAGTGGAACAAACCCTTGGTATCCAAAGATTAAGATGGCAATATTTCCTTACAAGTCAGCTGTACTCTCTCTTATAAACCTAAACCACGCTTTAGAATTGAGGCACTCTTTCCTAAGTTGTGTAGAGGTTTTTGGAAGATTCTTGTAGTGATTTGGCCACTATTATAAGTAGAAATATGTCAGAAGAATTTTATGTCAAAGCTCCTGAACTCAAGACTAGTATCCCAAACAGAAAAATTTTCTATTATTGAGAGTCCAATGGCATTTTAAATATTAAAGTGCCAGTATTAGATATTACAGTTGTGCATCAAAGATGAAGAAAGATAGCAAGCTAGCATGCAAATGCTATATCCAAAGAGAATAAAGCCCTTTTGAAGGCAGTAGAAACTGTCAAAGTTAAATTAAAAATTAAAAATCCATTTTGTGGGCTGCAGAGATGCTAGGCTGCCTGACAGCCGCAGCATCAAGAAGTTTTAAAAACCTCTCAAATGCAGTAGTGAGTTATCTGTATTGCTGTGCTTTGCCCTCCAGCCCAATCAACTTTCAAGCCATCGTGAAACTTTGCCTACAAAATGTTCATCAGTCAAAAGCAAAAAACTTTATCACTGTCGTGGCTTGTGTTGAAATCTTTTTTTGGGAATACCCTTGAGTTGTAAGTGGGATTTAAAATCTGGAACAGAGTTTATCTTTAGGTTTAGTGAAGTTATTTTGGAAGGATTCTATCACAGTTCTTATCGTACAGTATGGAATCAAGCTGCATAAAAGCAATGGTCTACTTTTGTCCTACAGTAGGGTAACGAGCCTTAAGGATAAGCAAAACCATCACAAATCATCATTTATGATGACTTTTTTAAGGTTCTTCATACTTCTTCCTATGACATTATCACAAGAAATAGCATCTAATGTGCTATAGGATAAATCTAATCTTAGACATAGAGGAAAAAAGTAGTAAATAATTGGATATGTAATTTCTTGTACTGATGTGGGCTGGGAAGATGCTGAGTTGATGGGTGAGATGTTCTCAGTTTGCTTGCATGGTCCCCCTCATTGTGGCATGCAGAAGCTTGTCAAAATTATTTAAGCAATGATATCCTGTTGGTTTCAATGGGAGTTAGATGTTTAAGCAGAAATTAAGTCTTAGGTTCTGTATTTGAATGGCTACTACTTTTTCATTCAGCCAGAAAGCAGTATAGTCTCAGGAGACCTGACTCCAGAAAATAAAAGGAGTTCAGACAAATTGGAGTTTCTGGATGTTTGCTGAGCTTAGTCCCCTATTCTCTCCCCTTGAATAGGGAATGCCAGCTACATCTCTCACTTGCGTGACTTAACAGTGACTCTAGTCAACTTTGACTAAGACGACTTTGCAACAGCGCTTTGCTGGAGGGACGGAACAAATAAACTACATGGGCTTCAGGAAGCAGGTAGATCTAACCATCTCAGGGGCACACTTCTTGAAACCTGTAACAAAGCAATTCGTATTTTGAAGTAAAAGTCTGAAAATCTCTCCAATTACATTTTATCATTTATTTACTCTTTATTATTAATTTAATTGCATAATAGTAATAATGATTTGTACTGTGCTAAAGTGTCTCTAATTTCATGAAATTCTACTCGAAGGTTTTAGAATCCTAAGAGCATCCTCTGCTAATGCATAAAGAAATTGTTTCTTTATTTTTCCACTAGAGGTTACAGTCTTAACTTCACTGTGCATTTGTTAGATTTTCCAGGGAATGTTCACCGGTGTTTGTACAGTACTTGGAAAAGTTTCTAATACTTCATTGATTATAAATGCTAAATAATTGTGGTTAGTGTTTAAAAAAAAAAAAAAAAAA